GAAAAGGTCACTTTTGCCAGACAAGAGAGAAAGAAGGAGGGAGGGAGGGAGGGAGAAAAAAGGGGGGACCGGCTGCCAGGAGGAAAAAGATGTTGAGTCAGGGAAAAAAATTTCAAAAACCCCAAACCAAAATGCTCCACTCACTGCAGGGAATGACACCCAGATCACGTCAACCCAAATATTTAGGGGATTTCTGAGGTTTAAACCGCTGATGGTTGTTTTCCCCCCCAACCAGCTGATTCATGTCCGTAAAAAAACACGGTGAAACGATGGGGTTCGCCAATCAGATGGCAAAAGAAAACAGATTTTTTTTCTAGACTTTACTGCAGTTAGAAGGAAGCAAACCTGAAGGCAGAGTTTTTCTGAAAGGGTTTCAAATCTTTCTCTCTCTCTCTCTCTCATTCATACAACTGAGACATATGCTCAGTTCACTGGCATACATCTGACTCATAAGCAGCGGAGGGAACCTGGAAGATGAGCTACTGCAACGAACCATACGTGGGGCTGCCCTTGAAGAGCACTGGCAACTGATCATGGTCCCCATTTCAGACTCCCAGGAATGGTGTCTAAGAAAATAAGGGGAAAAAAATCTGGAAACTAGATCATAAAGATCTACTTAGTCCAGCGTTGTAGTTACTCCGAGGACATCCACTTGCGTACAGGAAATCCGTAAGAAAATTCATTAAGTCGGGAACGCAGTGACCACTTTTCTGTACATATCCCTAGAATACGATCTCTTGATACTGGAGAGCCATCACTACAAATCCCATCATGCACTATGTAAGGGCTCCAGTTTACGATCTCTGCATCTCCCCCCAAACTCAGCTTCCGCAGACGACGCCCTATTTGAGTTTCCGGCGGCGTGGATAAAATAAAATTCTTCCCTATCTGCTTTAATTCCCTGATTCCACTCCACCCGATACACCGCGATTGTTCGATCCGATTTTACGTTGAAAACTTCAACGCAGGATATAAATGGATTTAAATACTGTACATATGGAGAAGAAAAAATGGTTCTTCGGTGATGGAAGCGTGACCAACAAACCTCGCCTCGGAGAAGGACATTCATCTCAACAAGAATGAAACGGCCTTTCTCTCCGTCCCACCATCTTCACCAGTACGTTTGGCGGAGACACAGGACAGGGGCCTTCTCTGTGGATGCTCCCAGACTGTGGAACTCCCTCCCACTGGAGGCCAGCCGGGACCCATCATGGCTGTCTCTTCACGCAAGCTTTCCCTTAACTGACTGGCCACCTGAGCGGGTTTTTTAAATGGATGGTGATGCCTTATTGCTTTGAATGTGTTCTTAGTATGGCTTCTGTTTACTGTTTCTCAACTTGTTTGATCCTTTCTAGTATTTATATACTTACTGGTTTTAGCTTTAAATATTGACTTTTAATGATATAAGCCGCTTGGGGTCCTTCTGAAGGAGAAAGGCGGAAGGAGAAATATTTTAAATAAAATAGAAGTAGATTCCTTCCACGCCCTTCCTCGGACAGTCTGGCAGTCCAGACTGCAAAACAGAGAGGCAATATTTCTCAAGGGGACTGCTCTTGAGCAAACAATTATGCCTTTTAAAACCAAATACAGAAGCGAGGCGGGAGAGAGAGAGAGAAAGAAAGCTAGTGAGAAAATGTCCAGCAAATAAAAAGCCCCTTGAAAGCCAACAAAGGTGCTATTTAAAAAACAAAACAAAAAAAGCACATAACAGAACAGTGTTTAGTATTTGGCAACGCCGCTCTTCATAATTGGCTCATTATCAGGGCTCTTTGCTTTTAGTGCATTGCTCTCTACGGCTGTTTGGATGAATCCCTCTTTCAAAAATCAGAAAACAGCACATTTTCTCTGGGCTGAATGGATTATCTCCAGAACATCCACCCCAGCTCAGTGGCTCAGAAAGAACATTATTTTATGACTTTTTAATCTATGAACAGAAATGCAATCACCGTCTTCTGCTTGAATGCCAACGAGGACCGAGCCATGTGAAATATCCGGCTTGTACGAGCCCGCCCCGTTTTTGTGGGGCAGAACAAAACCCTTTTTCTTGGTTTTGACCAGTTTGGCAGTCGTCCTGTTTGGTGGGGATGCAGGACGGGGGCCTTCTCGGTGGTAGCTCCCGGGTTTGCGGCGGCCATCTTGTTTCCTTTATAAGACCCCATTCGGTCAGCTTTGGATGGGGAAACGTGGGAGGGATGGCATTCGCTCGATTTCTGCGGTGGAACCCATCCTTTGGTTTGTCCAAAGAACTGGAGGAGAAACGCTGCATGAACCAAGGCACGGTTAAAATGTTTTTTAAAAAAAGAACGGAAGGGCCGCGGCTCGTTCGGAAGAGACGCAAGGCCCTTGCAACTCTACTTTGTGAAAAAAGATCTCTTCGAATCCGGAAGTGCGGGAAGGGTGCCCATCCAACGTCCGACCTCGACGGAAGCGAAACAGAGAGCTGTAAAAACCCAGAGGGGGAAAAATCCATCACAGACTCCCAACTTCAATCTCAAGAAGTCACCGTAAATGGTTCCCATCCGAGCCAGCAGGAACGAAGGGAGAAAAATTCCGACACACAACCAAAATGGTTCTCTCCCCCCACCACCATTTTAGAGGGATGGAAACCACGCCAACCCCTGCGTCAAACACACTCTTGCTGATGGCAGCCCAAATTTAATCAAAGTGTTCAGTCAGCCGGATAAGATGCCTCGGATTCAGGAGGAGGAGACCTGGTCGGAAGCCATAAGGAGGGTGGGCTTTGGAAAATTCGCTTTCAGAGGCCTTGACACCCAGGAACGATGGGTTCAAGCCCTGGAGAGGGTTCGAATCCTGTGCATTGGCAGGACAAGCAAAATAGGAGATGATGGTTCTTGACAGGCCATCATCTTGAGTGTCCACGCGGCCATTTGATTCAATGGGCAAATTAGTCAGCCTGACCTACCTCGCAGGCTCGTCGGGACATGGGGAGAGAGGAGGAGAAAGCCCAGTGAAACGCGAACGTCAGCCCCCTGGATCGCCCACCCCACCCCACGGGACAGAAATTCAGCCTTAAACCAACGAAGGACAGCAGAAATTTAACTGAATTAAAAACTCCAACCAAAGGAAACCTGGGTGAATTCCAGAAGCACACCTCTTTTAAAAAATAATAATAAAACCAAACCAATTTTCTCAAGAGCTCCCTTCTGCTTCATGACACGCATCTCTTTGCAGGATGAGTGCCTGAAAACCGCCGCAGATCCTCGCGCTGCTGTCAGAAAGAAAACCACCCCCATTGACTCCATCAGCGGGCCTGGAACAGACCCTTTTTTTCCGTTAATTGTGTTTCTCACAATGGTTGGCTTGGTGGTGAGGAGAACGGCCAGCAGAGGTTAAAATGGCTAAGGACTTTCCTGACCTATAGATGCTCTGAACAAGAAAAATAATAACATAAAAGCAACAGATGGTGTTGTCCAAGGAAATGGGAGGTTTTTCATGATAAGCTATGGGCCAGAGGCAGAAATACCTGGGTTTTGAGCTGGAGATAAATCTGCTATGGCAAGTGTGGAAGAAGTGATCGAAATAAGCATTTTAACTGTCTGAACAGGGTAGGAACCATCATCCACAGATACTCAGATTTTGGCCGCAAATTAACAACGCTTTGATTTTTTTTTGCTCAGAACGGGTGCCGAGAAATGGAAGAATACTAGAAAATGCTTAAAGACTTTTGGCTTTTTAATTCCTGGGGGAATAAAAAGGGGAAATGTTTTCTGGAGAGAGAAGCAGTTTTGACATGCTCAGAGGCACCCAGCTCTGGGTTTTTCGGAGACAGAAAGGAGGGTAACAAAAGCGCCCTGCCTCCCTGCTCTTCATTCTTGGCTACAGATCCTCGGGGGAAAGAAAAGGCGCGTCGTCATAAACACGGTGCCTGGCCAGAAAGAGAGAGGAAAAGTGTACGGGGGAGAAAGTAAATGAAATGTTTTCGGAAACCAGAGTGACAGATGCTCAAGGGGAAGTAAACAACAACACTGTGTTAAACACTAAACGCGGCCGACGCTCCCTCTGCCTCCAAATCCCCATGCGCTTATGGGCTTCCCTCTCCACTCTGTGATTTGTTTGGACGACCGCGGCCCACGCCAGGAAAAATCCATCTTATTTGTCATAACAAAACCAAAGTAAACAGAAAAAGCATTAGCCAGTTAAGCAAAAATGCAGCGCTAAGCCAGGAGGTGAGCTTTCCGTTGGCAACCCTTCGCGCTTCCACGTTGCAGGGGGGGGGGAAGAGG